ATTCCATTATTCCACAAATGTAATATAGTTTGTCGTTGAGTATTTTTTTTAGAAGGTAACATTGTAAGAATAAGTTTATAACAAAAATAAAATGATCAAATAATTTTAAATACCTATATATATTATTTGAAATATGTTGTTTACATATTTAAAATTTCATGTGAATTGCTTTTGTTTTGAAAAAGTTAAGCACATTTATATTAAATAAATAATATTCCAAAATTTTTTGCACCATACTGTATATTATAATCTTCAATAGTATTTAAAGATATTTGAATATTTAATTATATGAAGGCACTGCAGCTATTTTATACAAGTTGGCCTCTGAGTCATAGTAGAACTGGTATGCTTGCTTCTCAAATATGACTTGATTTTTGGCAGGCAGAGTAGTATTGAAAATAGTTAAGCTATAATTACATTTTTATATAAAAGTATTGTAGCCACTTTATACAGGTTTGTCTCCAAGTCATGAAATAGATTTGGCATATCTATTTTTCAAATATGAGTTTGTTTTTTGTTATAATTAAAATAATAATTATGATAATTATAATAGAAATAGTTAAAATAATCATTATAAATTTACTATAAAATTAATATACATATAAGAAAAAGGTCAAATCTTTAATAAAAAAAAACTTCTATAATAGAAACTAAGAGAAAATTTGAGTAATTGTTTCACTATAAATATATATTGATAAATTGTAAATTTGTTTTGAAGTGTTTAAGAAAAAAACTCAGATCAAATTATTATGTCTTAATTTTAAAAACCTTAATAGTAAAAAAGAATTTCAATAGTTTTTTATACTTGCTTAGACATATTATTTACTTGAATATATATATGTTTGTTTTGATTAACATATTTGTAATATTGATTGCTTGTTGGAATAAGCTGATTTCTCTAGGTTTGAAAAAAATTTGTTATATAATTTTATAGAATTGATATTAATGGTTATGTCATTATTTACTGTATTTTTTTAAGTTTTTTAAATTAAATTCTCTTGAAAAAGTTTGACATTCTTTTGTTTTTTGTTTAATATTTAAATTGTTTAATTTATTAGATAAAATATAGCCAGCAAAAATTCTTCTAATGTTTAAAAAGATGCAAAATTTTATATATGGCTGGTTAAAAATTAAGGATCCTAATAATTTGATTTAATTCAATTTTTAGTTTTTAGGTTTATATTAAATTTAATATATAGGTTACAATCCATTATTATTTTTAATGGTATTTTGAATCTTATATAAGTCTGTTAAATCAGAATTATATTAAAAGTTAGAAGATTTAATATTGATTTTTTTTTAAGTTCATTATAAATTGTATAACTTTATTCTTTCTTTTCTATTATAAATTTTTCTTATTTATTTGAAAAAGAAAAAAGCAACAAATAGAAATTATTAGTAACAAGTATACTCAAAGTAGATTTAATTTTCTAAATAATTGTTTTGCATTTATTTATAGTTTTTTATAATTTTTTTATAATTAAAAATAATTTTGTTTAAAAGTATTTTCAAAATTATTAACAAAAGCAATTTTTGAGAATTTGAAGATGTGTTATTTTTATTTTATTTATATATAATTTTTTTTTTTTAAAAAAAAAAATTTTACTTATATTAATTTAATTTTAAATTTTCGATTATATTGAACTTTTTAAATAATAATTAATTAAAAATTTAAATTAGTTAATTACTTATAACAAAATATATAAACAAAATATATAATTCATATATTTTATTTTATATAACAAATTTGATAATATTATTAGTTATAATAAAAGATAAGATAATAAAATAATATTTTTGTTAAAAAAAATTTTAATATATATATATTTTTTAAATTGGAGTTTTAAAAAATTAAATTAAAATTTTATTTTTATTCAATAAAAAGTTTTATTTATTATTAACTATTTTAAAAGAATATTTAAATAATAGGTTATATAATAATAGACAAATTTATATATAAGATTATTTAAACAAATAAGTTTTGTGACAAGTATATCTTTAATATTCTTATTTTAATTGCAAATAGTTGAATCAGAAATTAATTCAAAATAACTTATTTACTAATATAAACTTTTTTTTCTTTTTTAAAATTACAAGATTACATTTAAGATAACAATGTAAATATAGATTAATTTAATATTTCAAGATTAAAATTTTAATATCTGATTTTTATTAAAAAAGCAATATTATTATTTCTTATGATTATATTCAAAGAATTAAAATTCACAAAGTTTTAAATAATTAATAAATAGTTAAATTAAATGGGGTAACAATATTAAAAATTTAAAGATTACTTACAAATCTATAAAAGACTTATTAACGGATGTTCTATTATAAGAAATAGTTTAAATTTAATATTATATGATATTATACATTGTGTTATTGTTATCTGAAAAGAATAATAAACACGATTAAAATTATTATTAACATTTAAAAAAGTATTATTATTATTTAAAAAAAAATTTATTTGTTTATTATATACTGTATATAATATTTTGATAAAGTAGACTTTAAATTTTTTTATCAAGTTCGAAAAATATCATGTTTAATTAATTAATTATTAATTTTGAATTAATTAAACATATATATCTATTTTTATAGGCAAAGTGCAGTACACGCGAGACTTTATTCAATTCATAGGAATTACTGTACTGTCATTACATGAACCCCCGCTACCCGCCTATCGACTTATGAATCAAACTGTATATTAATTACGAATTATTATTATTATTATTAAAAAACGGCAAGTTTGATGATATTTAATTTGTTATTTCTTATCATTACACTGTAAATTAAAAAAATTAGGTTAACAAATATATTTTAACAATTTAATCCGATCTTAAATTATCAAAAAAAAAAAAAAAAACGATCGAGTTCACCATTTCAATTTATGGACATTAGACTGGATGCGTCCAAGATATCTAATAATTAGAAATCAAAATACTGTGTTTTGTTTCAAAATTGTTTTGTGAAAAAAAAAAAAAAGTTTGATTATTTTTAAGATATAAAACATTTTGATAAATAGATACAATTATTGAAAATTGATAAAATTTCTCAAGTTTACCATTTAGATCAATAAAAATTTTCTTTCCATTTACTGTATAATCAAGATTATTTCAAAACCGATATTTTTGATTTCGCGTTAAATTTTAAAATAAAAATAAAAATTCTTAATATCAAACATTTATATTTAAAGAACCATAATTCCGTGTTATAATGTTATATGGATATTATCATTATTTATTGAATGACGGTGATATGAATTTTTCTCAATTTCTCATTCAAACATTTAAATAATGAATATCAAGAAAGTTCAATTTTTTATTCGATTTTGAGATATCTAAATATCATGTGAAGTTATGGAATCCGAATTTGGTTAAATATTTTCTAAATCAAAGACCTCCAGAAGATTTATAGAGTACCCTAGCTGAAGAATTTACATAAATAATTCTCAAAGAATACACGAATGAAGAAATGAGGATACATTCGTACAAGTGGAAAATCAGACATTCCACGAATTGGTCATGAAAGCAGAGTAAGCGTTCTTGCACGCATCAAAGTATGCGTCAGCTTGACACCTTTCGGCCGTTCCACAGAACTTCATGGAAGGAGAAAACCTTTTGCCTTTAAAGGAAATATTACAAACGTAAATTTTTCGGGCGTATATAGTTCCATTGCCAATTTTCTCCTCTTTATATTGCGAAATAATCGTAAATCCCATAGGCTCCAAATATTTTTCGAGAAGATACGGATAGTTCTTACAATCCGAAAAGGATGAAGTTTTGGAATATGGAGTTTTGGTGCGATGTGTTGAGTGATGAAATGACGAGAGTGAAAGCAGGGCATTGCGCGATTTTTTCGTTCGTACTAAAGACGGAACAGTCGAATTATTATTATCTAAAGTAGATGAAATATTCTCCACATCTTTTTGGCGGCGATCCGTATTGGCACCATCAATAAAGGAACTACACGATTTCGATTTGACTGGAGCTTGTACGAGGTCTCCGTCACCATAATCGATAAATTGATCATGAGAATGGATACTATCGCTGTTATCAGAAGAGTCAGAGTCATTGAATTCTGGCGATTCCATATCTTGCTCACATAAGACTGACTGTGTTATCGTTTGACTGGCCGGTGGCGTCATGATCTCTTGTCGATTTGTTGATCCTAGATCTTTTAAATATGTCACGGGCTCAATTTCTAGCGGAGAACTTGGTGGTGATTCACCCTGTTGGATGGAATCTGACAATTCTCGAACATTTTTACATTTTTCGGCTACCTGAATGACCGCATCGGCTCTTCCGTTGTTACTTACATCTTCTACAATTATCTGATTAGAATCTGTCATCTGATGCTCTACTTGGTCAACATATTTTGAGATCAAGGCTTTACGTTGGTCTATAGAAAGCACTTCATTCATTTTGACGAAAATCAGAACAGCAGCATCAGCCTTAGCGGAATCCACATTTATCCTTAGTTTCTGTGAAAGGAATACATAGTTCATGAATTTTGCTTTGCATCTAAACTGTTTTGTACTGTGATCTTGAATTATCCCATACACCGGTTGTTCTATACTAAATATTGTGCAAATATCCTTAATAAATATGAACGGATGCATCAAGGGCGGCTTTATTGCATCAAGATCAAAAAAATCTTCCGAAATTTTCAACTCTTCTTTCAACGCATGGTTATTTTCAATAGTGTCTGTTGCATCAGCAAATCCTTTTGTTCCATCAGAACTATTGTGTAGAGAGAGTGTCTCTGCAAACTCTAATTGTTCTTCTCGTGAAAGAAAATTTCCCATCTTCTATAATATTCGATAACTTATTACATTGCATATTTAGGAATACCAACTACACAAATTTATTACTTATTCACGTACCAGTTTTATGTAACGATATCAGTGAATAGAAAGATAAGGTGACGGCGAGTGACGATGAGTGAAAGACACGTTCGCTTGGTAAGAGTATGCGGAACACCAACAGTGCATACGTTTATACCAAGGTTCTAGACAAAATTCAAAGCCAAATAAGAAAGAAAAGAGATGAAGATAATCATAAACAAGCGAACAATAACTCGTGAGTTATTACAAATGCGCAGTATACAATCATTAGCTCTTACTTATATTATTCAACTTCACATTAATTCTTACCAAATACGGGCAGCAAACATACACAATCAGACAACAAACACTGAAGATCGAAACGTGTCGGATAAAAATAGTAACAATAAATTCAAAATTCTATGGCCAGAGTTACTTTTTTGACGCAATAATTCGATGCTGCGTTACGTGTTTCTCAATCACGATCATACAATTTCGTCAATCAAAACAACATTTATAACATGTTAAATATATGCGACTGATTAATTTGATCGCATTAGCAGGTGCCGAAAAATTATTATTAAACTTTTAATCTAGTATGCAACGTTGTCGTTGCATGATATTTTTAGAGCCTTTTTCTTGGTGATTGATTTTTAGTCAAGAAAGATTGATTCCTTAAATGGTCGATTGATACATTGCAATGGATCCAAAGTAATTGACGTGATCGTGGAGAACAAAGTACACTTTATTTGAATAATGTAATGTCAGATGGATTGTTTTACAAAATTGTACAAGTAGTGTCTAATGTCTATCTTAATCATAACTTAATTTTAAGTCAAATTTCGAAGTCTTTTGTATTGTTCTTCGAGTAAACAATGTTCTAAGGACTTGTCTTTTTTAGGCTTTATTACTGCAATGTAACCTTCGGTAAATGGCTGTCAAAGAAAATTTTTTATTGAAAAATAAATAAACCAATTAAAGTACTGAACACACAAAAAATAAAATTTGTTTAAAGAAGCGCACACCTTATGTTGCAATAAATCAATTTCCTCCTCAAATCGCATATTGATATCAACCACCCAGCCAATGACACCGGCCTTGATGCTATATGTTCTTCCGTCTTCTGTCGTGATCACACAAATTTCGGAATTAATCGACAAGGGATTTTGTCGCTTCTTGTTAATAGAGCTTAAAACGTTAGAATCATACTGAATGGTCTTGATTTTTGGTAGTTGAGGATCAGTGAATGATGAAAGTTGAAGTAAGGGATGCGCAGGCGCTAACCCTATTACGCACAGTCTTTCGTTAAAGAAAAATAATAAGCTAGCCGTTGATGTATGATAGCATGAACAAATTCTTAAGTTTTACTTATTAGGCGCTTGATAAATGTAAAGATCCTCTGTATTGTTTTCGTCTAGTGAAAATTAATAATTAACATCTCGCATCTTTTTAGATAACGGTATATGTTGATATACTCACTGGTATCTAAGAAAAATTTCTTGGTATAATACTGATTCAGATATGCAAGCTCATCCTTTTCATTTAACTCCAAGCTTTTTTCAAACTCCTTCAGGTCATAAATTGGATCATCGGTTTGTTCAGAAGTGTTCATTTTTAAGATCACCGAGGAGTTACGATCTTTATACTGTTATATATTTCCGACATCGTGTAACACCAGGTCGGATCATCTTCTGAGTTTACGTAATCGTGGACTATAATTTTTATTTTTACATACGGTAAATTTTAATTACGATTCAAACAAAAGAAAAATTCATGTCATATTTAAAAAAAATTAATAAATTCAGATATTTATCAATTTAGAAAAATTTAAAAAGAAACGATTTTATGTGCGTATGAATAGGTGATTCCTTGTTATGTTGCAAGCCCTATTTTTATTTTAACTACAAAGTTTAACAAATAAAAATTTATGTTTTAACATAAAAATAATAATTATATATATATATTCTTTAAATAAATATTTGTGATAAAAATCAATAATATATAAAATTTTTTTATATACTTGTCAAAAATATTTAATTACTTAATAATCATTACAATTCATAAGTTTGAAACCAGATTTATTTTTTGAATTTTTAAAAATTTTATTAAATAATTATAAATAAAATTTGTATTAATATACCATAAGTGCAAAAAAAAATATTTTTTTATTTATATTATTAATATTTTAATAAATTTTTGTTGTTATTCAATATAGTAAAAAAATTTTAACATATAATATTTTTTAATTTAATCTTATTTTACTTTTTTTTTCAATTTAATTTTGTTATGTTTTTTAAAATAAAAATTGTATTTACAAATTCTTTTTCTAAAATATTTTATAAATATTTAATTTAATTAAGATTTGAAAATTTTATATATTTAAAATAATAAAAAAACTCTTTTTTTACTTTCTCTTGTTTTTATATTTAAAAATTTTCTTTTTAAAAGAAGTCAACTATTTACTTTGTTTTTTTTTTCTTATAAACTTTTGTTGTATTTCTTTTTTTTTTTTTTATTAATCTTTTATTATTATTTCTTTTTTTGATTCTCTTTTCTTATAAGCTTTTTAAATATATTCTTCTTTTCTTTTTTTTTTCTTATTCTCTTTGTCAAATTATATTTTTTCTTTTCTTTTTTAATCAATTAGTTTTTTTTTATCTCTTTATATTAAGAAGTAACAATTTTTTAAAAATAAACTTTTCAGGATTTTTTTTCATGGTTTTTTAAAAAAAAAATAACTGATTTACCTTTTTCAAAAAATTAATATTATTATTATTATCAAATTTAATATTGTTTACTTATTAATAATTAAATTAAAGACATAAAAAATTAGTGTATAACTATTATTATCTAAATTTTCAAAAAGTTACACTTTACAAAAAATCGACTGGATTTATAAAAATTGTTTACGAATTGTTTAATAAAAATTTTACAATTTAATTTTTTAATTATCGCAATATTTTAATGTTTAACAATATAATTTTAAAATTCAATAATTAATACAAATAATAATAAATTAAGAATTATTTGTTCTTTATGATATAAACTATAAGATTAATAACAATCGCTATACTGTATGCACTTACTAATCACGATGACTGCGGGAACGGATTAATCAAAGCATTTCCTTACCCTTCTCGTGATAAAGACATCAAATTATAAATTGATGAAATTCTCAAACTGATGAAGATTCAAGAAGAGAAAGTACTGTCTGAGAAACGACAAGATAAACTTTTCCAAAAAGAATCGTCAAATACATAATGAAAGAATAAATATACAGTAGTTACGTTGATTAATAGCCGTTTCTATTAAAAGAAAAATCAGAGAATCGTTGATAACAACAATACAATATTAATAATTAGATCTGTATATTTTTTTACTGATCGTTATTTACTGATGACAACGAATGTTGAATTATCATTATTACACCACTAATAATGGTTCAATGTTCACAATAAAGTCCTGTTTTCACAAGATAATGTCGAAAAGGTTATGGTTATCAGGAAGTATCGGCTCTGCAGATTTGCGTACAAGCTTATCGAATGGATACTTGGTAAGAACAATACCATAATCTAGGTAGTCGGTTCGAATGTCAACGTTAATGACACCGAATACGGTAACCTTGCCGAGGACCTATTATTGACTGTTACCATCTTTTCGACAAGAAAACACGAAAGATACGGACTTACCAAACGCCCTAAGAAAACTGAGATAAGCCTACAACAGGGCTCTTAAGAAGTGCAGGACAACGGAATCACCGACATGAGTGTCACACGAAAACACTACCTGAACAAAGAGTGCTTCACATCTGAAGAATCCCTTTGGATAAAAGAGACCCTTAGGAAAGTACGTTCGTATGCGATTCGACGATTAATGAAGTTGCACGTAAATAACTTTCGAATAAAGCACCGATCAAAAAAGGATCGAACACAAGCCATCTCGATTCTTGGTAGGGATTGGAATAGGAACGGTGCATTCCTATAAATATTATCACCTCTGAACGACCCGTTATTTTGGATCATCGATAACCATGAAAGATAATCTCGCTCGATCCAAGTGTCCGCACGGTTATGACGGCTATGACCCTGACGGTCAATTAATCGAGTGAGGTGACGGTGATTTAACAAAACTTTTAAATTATCTAAGAAATATGACAAATTCCAGAGCGACAAAGATCTTGCTTTGGGAAGAACAAACAAGAGAAAGAGATTTCGATTAGAAAAAGGTGCTACGAATCATACAACGAATCTGTAATTTAATCAATGAGTGCCATCATCAGCTGACCAGTTGGTTATATCAAAATTACGAGATCATTCTTTTACCCAAGTTCGAGTCTTCGAGAATGGTTTTAAAGAACAATTAAAGATTCGGTCAAAGACTGCTAACTTGATCACATTTCACGTTTCGGAAGGTCTTACATCATAACTCGAGGGAGTTCAGAGGTTGTAAGGTTATTTGATGCACCGAAGATTATATTACGTATTCGTGCGAGGTGGAGATGGGTCGGGACGCAAATGATGCCAGAAATATCTTGCTCGAATATTTAATGGAGGTTCAAGTTTATGGCCTGACTTTAGGACCTGGACCTATATGTCATAAAATATGCATAGTATTATTTATTCATATTAGATTCAGTTCAAGGGATCAGGTAATCTAGGATCATAGGAAGGATCTTTCGTATTGTCAATGACTAACTTGCAACATCACGATCATTTTCAAACCGTTCTACAAATTAAAGAAGAGCCAGTTCACTACCATAAAGAGATCATGTGTGCAATACCGTAACACTTATCATTAAGTTGGGTAAATAATAACCGTAATATGTAGTAAGTTGCGACTTTATGAGATATCCAATTTTGTTCTTATATAAGTACGTAATCTGTACAATGAATCTATGATGTCAGATCTAAGTGCGTTTTTATGTAATTTGGAAGTAGTTCCTTACGTAAATATCATTTCAAAATTCGAAAGAATGACGTTATTTTTACGTGTAACCCATAGTTATTAAACAAATAAATAACCAGCTCTTACCGTCACAGAACTTCACTCTTCTCTTTCTCATCATGTCTTCAAAAGATATTAATGATTTTGTTGCTCCGAAATCTGCACATCCCGAAGAAGAAAACCCGTATCATAATACTCGAAATACTGAAACAACCACCGATGAATCAAACCGACCGTATGTTACTACAGTAAAAGAAAAAATTCAAGATGCCGTCCATACCACTGCTCAAAAATTGAATTTAGAGCCAAGAGAGAGAAAATAAAAAAATATGAAGAGAGGTAATAAAAAAAAAGTAAAAGTAAAAGTAAAAAAAGTAAATAACTCAAAAATTTTTTTAAAAAAAATTTTCAAATAGAAAAAGAAAGTAAAAAAAAGTTTTTTAGTATATTATATATTAAAATTTTTAAAAATAATATATTATAATTATTTAATTTTATAATAAGATAATATAAAATTATATAATTAAAAATTTGAAAGTATTTATAATTTATTAATAAGTTACTATTTAATTATAACAATGGTTTTTTAAATTTAATATACTAAATAAATAATAAAATAATAAAAATGTTTTTTTTTTATAAAATATAATAAATCTATAGACATTCAGCAAAAATTCTGATTTTCTTTGAAAAGTTAAATGGCAACCTCTTGAACAATTTTAAAAAATTATAAGTATTTTAATAAAAAAAATATTTTTATTAATGGTTGAAAATATATTATTAATATTAATTTCTTAATAATCAAGGATTTTGATCTTTAATATAAAAATATTAATTAGTAGACTAAACACACATCTGAAATTACATGATATTTGGTGATTCTGAAAGTCTAAAGTACATGAAATTCAAAACTTATAGTAATTATTAATCTAATATGATTTATATAGAAATTAATTAATATGTGTTTTTAATTATTAATTAATATAAAGAAGTTATAAAATTATTAATGTATTTAATTAATATTATATTTTATTTATTATCTTGTTTTATTTTTTTTCTTTATTATTTTATTAATTATATATATAATTTTTTAGGAAAACTATTAAGATTATATGTATATTATTTTTTATATATTTTCTTCTATTTATTTATATTGAAAAAATATATATTTAAAGTTTGTGTTTTTTTTAATTATCCTTAAAGTTGTTTGATCCATTCTCTATTAATAAAGTTTTTTTTTAATAATGAAAAATCATTGATAATCACTATATTTCTTTATTTAAACCATTACAACAATTAATATATTATATATTAAAATTTTTTTATTATATAAAAACTTTTTAGAAAAATATATTATAATTATTTGATTTTATAACAAGATAGTATAAAATTATATAATTAAAAATTTGAAAGTATATATAATTTATTGATAAGTTACTATTTAATTATAACAATGGTTTTTTAATTTTAATATAATAAATAAATAACATAAAATTGTATATTGCAAAAGTTATAAAAAAGTTATATTTTATTTATGAAATATTTAAAATTATAGATTAATAATTTCAAAATTTAAATTTTAATTCAATTGAGAATCTTTGATATTATTAAAGTTCAATTTTATAAATTCAAATTTAATAAATAAATTTTATATTTTAAAATATTAAA